CAATTTTCTTTTTGTCTTTGTTTAATGTTTGGTTTGTGCTGTTAAACAATATAAGCCTGATTTTTCCGCTTCGCGACCCTGGGAAGCTTGGAAGCTTGGGTTCTGTTCTTCACCGCGACTCGCGAGTTCGTCCAGAAACGTAGAAATCATTTGTGATTCCAGAAATCGATTTCTGGGACCCGCTATGCACAATTAGAACTTTTTCACACATCTGTAAACCAAAGATGTAAAAGTATTTAATGACAAACAATTTTAAATAAGTATTTGAGAATTAAGTAATAAATGTCTATAATAAAACGAATAAAATGGTTTATAAAATAATTTTTGAAATCACACAAATTGTTTATACGATTCGAAAAACATTTTTGGGATGTATCTACTGTTTCTGAGATCCCATAAACCGTGTTGGGGATTCAAAACAGATTTTTGGGACAAGAAATCGATTTTTGGGACTAGAAATAGATTTCTTGTCTAAAAATTGGATTTCTGGTCCCAGAAATCGATTTCTTGTCAAGAAATCAATTTTTAGACTAGAAATAGATTTCTTGTCCAGAAAATTGATTTCTGGTCCCACAAATCGATTTCCGGCCCAGAAATCACATTTCACGGACTAGAAACGAGATAATCTAGAAAACGATTCCTAGGTACCAGAAATCACATTTCCGACCCAGAAATCACATTTCTGACACAGAAATCGATTTGTTCACATTTCTGTGTCAGAAATGTGATTTCTGGGCCAGAAATCGATTTCGTGCTTATTCACATTTACGTCCCATAAATCGATTTCTGAGTCAGAAATGTGATTTCTGGGCCAGAAATCGATTTCTGGACTAAAAATTGATTTCTTGTCCAGAAATGTGATTTCTGGCCCAGAAGTCACATTTCTGGGACTAGAAACGAGATAATCCAGAAAACGATTTCTGGGTCCCATAAATCACATTTCTGACCCATAAATTACATTTCTGACCCATAAATTGATTTCTGGACCGTAAATGTGATTTCTGAGCTAGAAATTATATTTCTGGACTAAAAACGAGATGATCTAGAAATCAATTTCTGGGTCAGAAATGTGATTTCTGGGCCAGAAATGTGATTTCTCGGTCAGAAATCGATTTCTTGGACAAAAACGAGACTATCCAGAAATCTATTTCTGGGCCCAGATTCGATTTCTGGACCCAGAAATCAATTTCTGGGCCCAGAAATCAATTTCTGGGCCCAGAAATCATTCAATGTTCCAAGAAATCTATTCTACATTTTTTTTTTGCCATATTCATTTTATTAATTTTAATAGTATATATGTGGCCCATTAAAAAAAGATAAATTAAAACAATACTTTTACACTAATATTCCCGAGATATCACCGGAATGTTGCCGGAATGAATATAGAGAGAATGATTTTTTTTTTTTTTGTTAAGAGAATGATTTTTTTTTTGTTGAGATTAAAAAATGAAAAGAGTGAATGAAGATGTAAATGAAAGAGAGAAGAGAGATGAACTTTTTTTTAAAAAAAATTATAGTAAGGGTATTTAAGTCTTTTCATGTGCCAAAATGGCTAAAAAAGATGTTTTTTTCAAACTATGGCTAAAATTTGTGTTAGCCATTTCAACATGGCTAAAAAAAAAATTCACTGATAAAAATAACTTGACAGAAATTATTAGATACAGTAATTCCAAATTATCCTAACAGCTGAAAGGAACGATTTACTTCATCAATATAACAATGAAGATAGAACCTTGAGACACAATGCAAGCAAAAATGCAAGAAAACCGAGAAGCAAAACACATGGTGAGGTTCGATTTTACCGAAGTTCTTGCCGACGATGCAATGCCAAGTTGGGCCGTATTTTTTGTCAAACATCTTCTTTATGTGCTCTGCTACATCCTTCTCCACTTTAGAATCCTCAAACGCCTGTGAAAATTACAAGAATTTTGGTTGATTAGCAATTTTATTTTAAAAAATAAAAAATAAAAATCGCGGTGCTTAAATTTTCAACGAAAGGCGAAAAAGGTAAAGCGTTATCAACTTCGTTCCTCTTTTTGCTTAATTTTTTTTTTTTTTCTTTGTAGGAGGGTGAAAGAGAGAGATTACAGCAATGGCAATGTCGATGGCTTCTTTCTGCAAGTCCTCTTTCATATCCGAGCTCTTAATGGTGACTTTCTTAACAGAGGTAGATTTGCGATCGTCCGAAGAAGACATAAGCGCCGCCACCGAAGCTCCGCCGCCGCCGCTTGTCTTTGTCCCTTCACTCATTCTTCCGCCTAACTTTTACTGTCTTTCTCAATTGAAGTTCAAAAATTTATCACTCCGCAAAATGTACTTTTTTTTAGAGAAGAGTGGAGTGCGGTGGAGTGATTTGTAAGACCGTCTCCAACCGAGACGCAAAACTCAAATTTTGCAGTAGAATTCTCTCCACCCGAACTAGAAACGGATCTGCAAAATGTGTAAAAGGGCTCTCTCTCTCCTCTAGAAACGCATATTTGCCTTGTGCTGCAAAATTTGCGTTTGATCTTTTAATTATTACATATAAGTCCTTCTATTCTATATTTATATTCTAAACACCCTTATTCTTTTATATATATATATATAGAGAGAGAGAAGGGATCATATGAGAATGATAGATAGTGAAAGAAATAAGAATGACTATTGGTATCTATCAAGCCAATGGCTATGATCAAGTCAAACATTAATAATGAAGTCAAATATGAGATGACATTGTGGTAAATAAGTGGACATATTAGGGTCAAAATTATGTATTTGACCACTTATTAAGGTTAAATAGGTCATTTGTCCAAATTCCACTTGCCTGCGGGACCCGCCACAAGCACCCTCACCCGTCACCTCTCTCCCTCCAACACACCAGTTTATCTCTCACCACACACATAATCAAAACACACACACACTGGTGCACACATTCTCTGCACAGTGCACACACACACACATCACACACTGCACACACAATCGTTTCACACACACATTCAGTCCACTCCGCCGTCGCAGTTGCCGGAGAAGTCGCCGCCGCAGTCGCCGGAAAAGTCGCCACCGTCTCGTCCATCGACATCTCCGACCTCCGTCGGACTAATCGACGGCGCCACCGTCCTCAGTTGGACTCCATCTTGACCACTGCAAACACCAGGTATCGACCCCGCCGAAGTCGCCGCCGTCTTCCCGACCCATCCCGTCGCCGTCTTCTCGGCGGCGGAAAATATGATTTGAAATTATTTTTTGCTGGTGAAATCGAGGTGTCGATGATGGTGGCGTCTGACATCGGAAAGTTGGCCGGAAATGTGTTCGCCGGACGGTGAAGGTCCTTGATGACCGCATGATGAGGTCCTCGCCAGCAGTAAAATTGAATGTTGGAGTTTGATTTTCAGATTTAGATTAGGGACTTAGTTTTGTAAATTTGAAAAGTATTAGGGGCTTATGTGTTGTTTCAACAAGTTTTGTATATTACAGTTGAGTTCATGGGTTGATTGGTAAATAATCAAAATATAATTAATATTTTAATATCCTCATTTATTGTTTGGTATTTTGTATTTGTTATGACCAAAATTTGATACTACTTTATATAAAAAAAATATATTAATAAAATTAATATTTTTTTATATAATTTGGTTTTCCAGTTGTCTAAATAAAAAAAATCATATTGAACCGGCATAATCGAGCTTTTTAAATTTAAAAAATGGCATTTGAAATGAGATTTAAAAATTGAACTAAAATTATTAGCTTGGTCGAAAAAAGTTGATATTGTGCAATTTAGTAGTCAGTATTGTGCAATTCGATAACATTAATGTGCAAGCGCATTATCTAAATTATATATAATAATAATAATAATATATTTTCTAAATAATTCAGTCGTTTTAATTATTTTGATTATTTAAAAAGAGAATAATTGACACCGAACTAAGATGTTGTGATTTTTTAAAAAAAAAATATAACTAATCAAACTAAAGTATAAAATTTCAAATAATAAATTTAATTTGTTCGTCTTAGTCGCTATTATGTAATTTAGCTATTATGTAATTTGATAGTTATTGATTTGTAAACCTTATGTTACAATATATTTGGGCACTTACGGTGCGTTCGTTCTTTTTTTTTTATGATTCACACTCTAAAAATGAACGGATATAATCGATTTATTCCATTTGTTAATCAAAACACCATAAATAATCAGAATAATTATTTAGTTATATTATAAATATATATTTAACCTTTTAGCATTATATATATATATATATATATTAGAAAGACCTAAAATGTATATGCAAAATATAACAAAATATATTAAAATATGATGCCTCTCTTTTTTTATGTATGTTGTGCGGTATTTTATTATGGGGTTTCGTGATAAAGTGTAGCGCTCTATTTTTATAAAGTGCACCTTGTTGTTTTATAAAGTGCAATATGTAGATATATAAAGTGCATAATTGGGTATGGTAGCATGCTCGTGTTTTTTT